TGTACATCCATAATCTTGTGAATAACTGTAAGGGGCCCCCATTTAAAGGTTGTTTCAGATCAACAGAAATACCATAGCGCAATAACAACATGAAAACATTGTCAATAACGGGTGCATCCTATCAATGAACCCGTTATTCCTACTCCTACTTGATGCATCTTTTCAGGCAGAGCGCTGTAACGAATACGACAAGCTACAGTTTCTCAAGGATGTGAACAGTGACTCTGATCGCCGAAGAGACAGTGAGCCAGAGGTGATTGAATTTACAGTCATCGTTGCGTTCCGATTGCCTGCTTCCAATGAGGCTTTCAGCGTCTTCTCTGTGTCTCCTTTTGCTGGAAAATGATAGAAAACTCGGTGCTAACTTATGAGGGGGGAGGATCACGCTGCGGCGTGGCGCTCTGCTCGTCTGGCGCGCTCTCAAGCGAGATAGCACTGCGACTAAGCCTCGGCAGGGATGGGAATGCCGTAGACAGTGTGATCTTGCTCTATGCATGTTTGAACTTTGGAGGAAACAGGGAAAGGAGGAATTCTGGGTGGGATAGTGTTACTCCCACCCAAAGTTTCTCCTTTTCTTGAGGCTTAGTCCTAGTAAAAGGAGAAACTCACTTCCGAGCCTTCCACCTTCTCACTCTTATTGTTAGTGCTGTCTCGCTTGAGAGTGCGCCAGACGAGCAGAGCGCCGCGCGCCGCGTGATCCCCCAACTAGTTAGCACCGAAAACTCTTTATTTGGTGTGTGATTCATTTTTGAGGGCAGTCAGCATACCGGTGTTATTAAGTTGTCGTTGCAATAAGTGACGGAAAACGGTTCCGCTAAAGTATTGCTGAGTGGTTTCAGAGGCTTTTGTCGCGATACCTGTTACACTGTTTTTGCAGTGGGGGTATTATTCTATTACATTTGTACTGAAAGTGAAGATAAATCATCCCCACTACTTAGTTTCCCAAAAGCCCATCTGTTAGTGTTTTGACCAACTTTTATTTCAGCTCATTCCTTCTGTTCGATGCCGTTGCCCGTCATGGAAGCGCACAGAGCTTTTCGAAACAAGAGATGGAATGAGTTGTAGGGATTGCATTACCTCATACCTCGTACATCAACTTCGCCTCAATCGCCTTCCAGTTGATATTCCGGTAAGAAAGTTCAATAAAAGAGTGTAAATATAAACAATTTGAGACGAACCAATTGAGGGTGATCAATAGGCATTCAGTAATATGGAAGAATGTCTAATTCGAGCTTCAAAATACTGGACCACCTAAAAGCTTTGAGAAGCGCTCACGCTACATGAACGGAGGCCAGAAGTTCGTTGTTGGCATTGTTGCAATAGCAGGCTATTAACCGTAGTTTACAAGAGCGGAGTGGTAGCGATGCTTTTGGTCTTGCGCTTTCGTGCTGTTTGAGCGCAGCTGTGGGACGATCAGCTGCACACGCTCGGCGTCCCGCGCCGCAGTCCAGTGAACATTTCTTTCCCTCCATCTAAGCTGGGAGCTGAGTTCACCAGCTGTCTCGTTTACTACCACGACCACATACTCTAACCATAAGCAAAGGCGATGTTCCACGCGGAAGGCAAGGTCAAAGGCACATTCGGATGAGAGGGCGAGAGCTTCTGATTGTGAAATACGGAATTCTGAAATGCCTACCAGACCACTGGACACAAAGCAAGCTAAAGTAGAAGAATGTACCCCATTTAAGAACTACTTTGAAGCGTTGTGCGATTTAAGAAGAAGAAGCATTGCGAGCTCGGACAAATGGTCAGACTTAAGAGGGGCAGGGACAGGAGAACGGCATGAAATGTAAATAAGGACGTCCTCAAATTCACAAAGTATATACTCTGCCTAGCCGACGCTTCTGCGGTTTTGTCATAGCCGCCAGCATATCATTCCGCTCTGCAAATGGTGGGGTGTGTGTCCTCAAGCAATGAGTGGACTCACTAATGCTCAATCGAGCCTTTTACGCTATAGATGTGTTTTGGTTGTTTCTTTTCCTGCCTCACACACAAAACCACACTTGTGTAATAAACAATTATAAATATGCACAAATACAAACAAACAAATACTTTATGTGAATTGAGTGACTTTAGGAGAAAATCATAGAAACTAGAGAATCATAACAAGTTAATAGTTCGATTAAAGAAGCGCTCAAGCCTTCACTGTAACCTTCGTAATGCTTAGAATAAAGGAGAGTAATGGTTTCTATTTTTAAGCCACTCGTCTTGAATTATAATAATTAATTAATTATAGTGGCATGGAGTAGGTTAGAAAAAAATCATTTACAATTTTCAGCTTATATCTACCAAGGAGCTTTCAAATATTGATCTACTCTATAAAGTACTGCCAGCACCGTTGATTTCGATGCTACTCAAAGTAAGTTATTCCCTTTCAATGGAACCAAATGGTCCTATTTCTATCAGTGCTCCTTACCATCAGCGTTACTCATTTGGAATTAGGGCATGTTACAATTCAGCTCCAAATGGACTAGGACTAAATAGGACTAAATAGAGGGTTGAAATAGGAACTAAAAAATTCAGCTAAATTGTCGCCTGGTCCAATAAGGCCAGTGGATACTGAGTAATTAGTTGCTTCCTAAGTTTAAGTGTTCCTTCAGATGACTTACTCATACTACTGCCGCCTTCGTAATCCCAATGTCGTCTTTTCCGAATGTCCTCGATGCGCCGTTGAAGTGATTATCACCCCTTCCAACGGTACTTTTCTTCCTTCCTTACTTCACGAATGTGGCCAGGGAGGGCTGCTGCGTACCGTACTGTAGTTCCTCAACGACATTGAATTTAGAGCACATTACTGTTTGGGGTGCTGTCCCGCATGTGAGTCCCATTGGTGCTGGCTGTGTAACTCAGAGCCCCATTTGGCCGATGAGTTGCGAAGAATTCAAGCAATGGATTGGCAAATGGGACCAACAATGTGTGTTCTTTTAAGAGTTATTCTAGGCTTGTTTTTGTTTTTATGGTTGTTGTTTTTTGTTTGTTTTATGGCAGTGCGTTCAGTTCCTGAGTATATCATTTTATGAGATTATCTTAAGATTTCATTGGGAAGTACGGACTGCAACCGGATGAGGATCTGCTACGTATCACTTGCCTTTGCTCTGCTGTCCTTCTCGTGAGTTCTGCAGCTTGAGTTTTTTATCTCTATGAAGTCGTTTGGTACCATATCCTTCGAGTATTATGAAAGAACCTTTTCTACTCATTGATGAGCTCCGAAAATTCATGTACAAAGCAAATCGTACTCACGATTTTGACTGAAAGTAGAATGCGTGGCGCATGCGTGGCTCGAGAAAAGTGGTTGAACGACGTCAAATATTCATTTCCATGATGTCTCCATTCCGCATATGGGGTGAACGAGATGACCTTAAAGGAATCCTTCGCGGAAAAAAATCATGATTCTATTTCAGCCATAAATCACTGGCTTGAGACTCATTATCCACGATAAGAATGAAAAGAACAGAAATATTGCTTTTGTTTTGGTAAAAAATTCGAAAAATCGAAAGGGCTGCTACGCGTTTCAAAGTGCCCACGGACGTCTTTCACAAATGCTGGCGACGGGGATGCTTCCACTTGGTTCTTGGAGTGCCTTCACTAGAAACTCTTTCTGGCCTTTTGCTTTATTGCATTCACATCTCACTTCTACTCCATCCTATTCTATCGATCGATTTGTCTCTACTCTCCAAAATCGCACGCTTTAACCCGATTCTTTCATTGCGTCGCCTGATACGTAGCCGCCCAAGGCGGACTTCTTTCCATGCCCCGCCTTTGGCTCCGCGCCTTTACCTTCGATTGTCCATAGAGTGTAGTTTTGTGTAGTTTGTTTCTCTTCCGGAGACAAAATCTTAATACGGGAAGCTTTGTTGCTGTTTCCAGTGATCACACTCATGTTGAAGAAAGAATTGCAGGAACAACTTAAAGGACGAATTCACGATGAAAAAGCAACCCATTTCAATTAACCTAGGGATGGTGAGTGGTACACGAAAGAAGGAAGAACCATGAGAAACGGCCCAGAACCCGAGAAATGGTACCCCTTCCTTGCCCGTTGATTCGAGCATTGATGCGACTCTCATCGCTGTGCCCTCTTCAACACTACGCTCTCTCAGCTATCTAATCACTCGCCACGTATTGAACTACGGCGAGTGATCAGATGATCGGTGGGCGGAGATCGCCGGACCCGCCAGCTTTGAGGCATGATAGGTCGCCGAGGGTCAAATTTTTCCATGCGAATTGCGCGTCAGTTCGCACCCTCAGGAGGTCCGTGGGTCCCTCAACTAGGTCAGTTTCCCTTTCTTCGACCTTCATTCTAATCGTGAATTCCTCCTTTAAGAAGCATTCTTCGAACATTTTGCCTTCGTTTTGAGACGATTTTTGCTGCATTCAGCCCCTGCAACAGTCTGTTTTGATTCACAGATGGATTCACCCGTGTTCACTTTCTTGTGATTGTGTTATTACCGTGCTGACAGCTAGTCTGCCTGACAAGCATGGTAGTATCGCGTTTTCATCATTACACTTTCTTCCCCCCTCGTTGATTTTCGAGGACCGCTAGTTTACGTATGAACTGAAGTGCTAAACGAAGTCCTTGATATTTTTTCACTGGGATCAAGCAGAACGACTGAAATACTTTCACTTCAAAAGTCGTATTGCCATTTTTCAGTTGCCGAGCGAATCCGCCCATAACACCAGGTGCCGGTGTGGGTATCGGTATGACAAAACCGCGGGCTGATGAGCTTAGATTACAAGAATTGCAACTACTCTGGAAGAAGGAGAAAAAATCACGCCTTCGCAGGGAAACCAAAACAGGTACACAAGCATACAGAGTCAACAAGCTTACTTATTGTTTGCTCCCACGTATTAGGATGGTAAGAAAGTCTTGAGCCGTCTGACACCTTTTTTGCTCTTACATTTTTATTTCCGATACATGGATTTTCTCACAACATTATCACCATTGTTACTCACTACACTGTCCCAACCTACGGGCAGGGTCAGCTATCCTGTGTTTCCTAGAACTGGAGAGACTGGAAGTCAAGGAAATCACTGACCACGTTTCAACGTCCTCAACTTTGGCGAATTTTTTCTTCGTTAGGAATGGCTTAAGGGAGCGAAGCAAGTGACAAACAGTGGGGCAATGTCAGGGGAATAAGGTGGTGGAAAAACCGTGTCCCAGATCAGCTCTTCCAATTTTGCACGGGTCTCTTTAGCTATGTGGGGCCTGGCGTCATCGTGGAGTAGGTGGACAGAAGTTCGTCTCGGTCGTTTTTCTTGAACAGCGTCCGCTAGTTTCTGGAGCTGACTGGCGTAAATGCTGCCGGTAGCGGTATGTCTTTGCGGGAGCATTCTCATAATACAACATTCCTCACGAATCCCAGAGGTAGCAAAAGACATAGGGCCGAGAGCAGGCAGGCAGGCGTCTTATTTCATCGGGGGGGGGGGGGCGCATGTGTTCTTTGTGTTAAGTTATTCAGAATGCTTGCGCTCGCGCTTTATTTCAAAGGAAACCGCTGCTATTCAGATTGCTCTGTCTCGGTGTGACTTCTCTCTTTTATAAAATTCCTTTTTTAAATGTTTTATTGTTTTCGTTTTGTGTGATAATAACCGTTGTGCGCGTTCAAATAAATAGACAGTTATTTAAAAAAAAATACACTTCTTGGGGTGGAGGTTCGATTTTGCTGTCCGTCGGTGGAGTCTCTTTTTGAGAGTACATGGCGTTGGTGCTTACTTAGAATCGTTAAAAGACCCATCTCTCATCTCCCGTTATCAAGCCTCCCAGAAACGCCTTTAGGTGCGGACGAGGAAGGAGCGAGTGGCAGATGGATGTCCGGGTGAACCGCATGCTATCCGCCAAAAACATGAGGGATTACATCGAGTCGGCACTTTCCTGTGGCGAGGGCGTGGAGGGGACCGAGGACTGTGGGATGGGTGCACCCGAGTCTTATCACAAGGCTGCGGGTGCTAACCTCCGGATCCTCTTCGACAGCGCCGAGAACGGTGGAGTCTTCCACTGTTTGGGGGCTTCCCAACCTTGTCTTTTGTTTTGAAAGCCGTGTCTCCTCCTTCGAAGCCTGCGAACCAGAGCTTGGCACTGATGATGGAAGTGGTGTCTTATCTTCCCAATGCGCTGCTGATAATGTTGACGGTTTCCACTGCTCCTGTGCCGCAGCGCCATTCATTGAAGATGATCGCTCGAAAGTGCTCTTGTGGAATCGACATCATGATTAAAGTTAAAGAAGGCAACCCGGCAATATATACCTACTGCGGAGAAGTATGATCGACAGCGATAATCTATCACGTAGCAGATTCTAGGTATCGATCAATAAGCGAAAGTTCTGGAGCTTTCGAAAAATCGGCTCAGGACTTTCTTACCATCCCAAGTATTCTGACTTTTCTTCCCGGGAAATATCGTACTTCTTTATAGTTGGCTTGTGCCATTTTCCTCACTTTGTTTGATTTCAGGGAGATCCGGTGACTGTGGAACGAATTGCGCCTCTACAACTAATAGGCAAAGAGTTCGCCGATGTAAGAATTTTCACAATGGTATTCCTATAAGTACCCTAATTTCCGCCGGCGGGGCGCGCCTAGCATGAGCCGCGCTGATATATGTAAAAAACACCTCACTCGTGCAATGCACTTGCGTAATCTAGAGACAACCACGTAACTAGCCCATAAGGCGTCAATTTCGATATGCTGGTTTACGAAAAAGAAAGAAAGAAAGTTTTGCTTGGTTACCATTTTTAGCGGTGACGTCACCTGACGCCAGTTGACGTCACCTTGCCACAACCGCTGTTTTCACTAAAGTAGGTGCTAAAACTTTTGTAATAGGGCTATCGCGTGCTCTAGCTACTACGATTGTTCAACGCGTTCCCGTTGCGACAGCGTGTGTTGCGAAAGAACGGAAAAACAGCCAGCGCCGCCAATTAGCCGCCAGCTGCCAAATTAATGTCATATGCATAATCAAAGGCCTCCAAAGCCACCCCCATACGAGAAGTACACAAATTGGTTTGAAAACAGGCGTCAGTGACCAATGAAGGACCGCAGGAGCGCCAGATGGTGCGCGCCACCGCTAAAAATGTGTCATTTTCGTAATCAGAGCATCGAATTACCTCTATAGGCAAATTCACGGTGATTTCTAAGTTATAAAAAACAACATTGCACGAGCGGAGGTGTTTTTGCGTGATATCGGCGCGGTTGTCTACCGGAAATTAAGTAATAATGGGGAGAAAAATTCTTCCAAATATTCTTCCAAATTAGGTATAAGTTGTAAAGATCGAGTAGTAGAAAAGTGTATATGAAAGTGATAGAAGGCAGACACTAAGAAAGAGAAGGCAGACACAATGACTCGCACTGGTGGATGCAAAAGTAGATGTATTATATGCGCATGTCAGGAAATTTGTAGAGAGCCCAAAGAGTAGGGAGTGGGAGGCTCTACAACTGCCCAGCCCATAAGCCACGTCTTATGAGAAAATGGGGCAGACGGAATAATTGGCCGTAAAATTCACAATGATGTCAACTCGTTGACCATTTTGCACAGTACCGTATTCCTGAAGCCACTGGTGAGGAGGATTAGGTGCCAAGAGTTATCCCCTATCTAAGTGAGGAAGACGGGTTCTAAAGCGCGACAGCGTCCCGACAGAAAAGTGTGCTGGGACCCTGCCTTGTCCGCTGCCAGCCGTTACCGGCGCTGCTCTCCTTATCAATCATGTCACATGTTACATGGCCCGCTTGCGCAACCTCTCGTGTTTTCCTCTACTCGCTGTGCGGTGTCTCTATGTCATATCATAGCCGACCTCACGAGAGGTAGTCAGTGTCATCTTTGACGCTTTTTGGCTTTTTCTTCCACTAACGTCCCTCCTTACTTCACGTCTAACTTTTGAACAAAACAACACGTAATTTTTTTAAATTGTAAATTCCTTCCAATCAAGCCTTTATTTTTTTTTGAATTTATCCAATCTTCAATGATACGGAGGTGCAAAACTCGAAAAGAAGAAGCGTTACTTTAAAAGTCCCCGTATCTCTTTCGGAAGGAAAGATGTTCAGCTTTGAATAAAACATGCAAAAGATCGTGCAAGACTAATTCATACGAAGTTTTTTTTTTCGGTCAAAATCGGACATTCAATGGGTCCTTCAAAAGACGTGATGAACTCAAATGAACTGTAGTTTTTATAGTAGAGAGGGAACTGTTATCAGAAACAAAGGAGAATCAATCAACAACATATTAGTACATAAAAGTTTTTAACCGGTGCTTCTTAGAATCTTTATTTCATAGGCGACTTGTTTGGCTATGCAGAAAGTGAGTATGGACCCGCATGCAAACAAGTGCTGAAGTGAACTTCTTCGTTCTTTGATCTCTCAAGGATTTTTTGAGCCTACTTGTTTTTTCGGAGCATCACTTACCTTTCACCCGCCTCCATCCTCAAAAACCAAGAAGGGATTTTAGTCGGAATGAGCCCACGACTGTGGACATGGCTAGAAAGTTGGCTCCGGAACTGTTTGAATATCCCATCAGTTGAGCGCAAAAGCAAATGGAGCCTGCGCCACAAGCGCCTCGGCCTCATGGCTCGGGTCCGTAAACTTATACCTGCGCTAGTTTCAGAAAACTGGTGATCAGGTAGTAGGGCGCCTCTCGGTGCCGACAATTGTGTGGCAATGGCGCCAGGCGTTTTCGCGCTAAACGAATGCAATAGATATTGGTGTTTGGGCCAAATTTCCTGGCAGGGTCAGTAGCAGGGTCGACGTTCGCACTTGTTCGGAAATTTCGCGACCCCTCTCCTTTAGTGGGGTCTCATTGCGACCCCTCACCACCACCTTGAGACTCAGGAGGTTCTCCTAATACGACCACAGTTCTCCCTATCTCCCTACCCCGACCACCACCCTCGCCATCATGGCTGTTTCTATAGTATTTGATTCTGAGACCAGTCGACACAGCCCAACTCCGCCCACCTCTTCCTCCAAAACGGGCGCGGCTGTCGAGGGGGAGGGGTGTAGTGCGATGAAATGGCAAATTTCCTCCTCCCACCCAACCAATCTGAATTCACCTACCATCGCCATTCATTCAACAATTACTATACATTTACTACCCACTCATCCCCTGAATGCAACCCTCCCCCACCCTTCCCAAAACCACAAATGCGACCCACCTCATTCGGAAAGTGCGACCGCACAGTTGACCCTGGTCAGTAGGCTTTTATCACAATGTACGGCAATGTACTAATTCCGATACAAATCCGGCTCGTTTTGCGAGTAGTGGGACAGTGAACGGTTAGTCTCTCACTGTATATTTGGTTTTTTGGAACTCAGGCAGGAGTTTAACTGTTACAAGTTTCTCACAAAGAGCACGTCAATCATCTGAATTCGGTCCGTTAAAAGTCGCTATCCTTTCATAGAGCGAGCACCTGTCGCGCAGTAGTTCATATAGTTTTGTATTTACTACAATCGATCAAATATTTCCTCGTGTTTAGATATGTACGGAGGCGAGGAACCTTCGCTTTGATTTGAAGAAAATGCTCGAATTCGAAAAATCAGCAAGCGCTCTTCATTTGGACGGTTATGACGTTGCCATTCAGAGAAAGACCGTGAGTTGAAACCAAACTGTTTATAATAAGGCATCGAAGAAATTTGTCTTTAGGGTCTTGTTCTGGTTGAGAATTGTACGGCATGGCTGTATCTGCATCGGCGAGAGGGCTCCTATGGAACGTGTAAATCAGCTGTTTTGCGTCTGCTTCAGAGGCT